GCATCAGGTTTCCTCTTCTTCTACCTCCTCGAGTTGTGCTCTGCAATCAACAGCTGCTGCTACAAACTACAACAACTGCTCTCCCCTTGACTACTCAGTACAGCTAGGAGGTAGTCAGTATGAAGTAGACAAATCAGTACTGAGCAAAAGTACTGAGCAGATCAAGAAAGAGGAAGAGGAAGAGAAGAAGCAACTGATGGCTTTGGACTACCACCACCACAACCATCATCACCCTTCTTACCATCATCACCAAGCGCCGGTGAGCACCACCAGCCCAGAAATGGGCGTCGGAAGTGGGCGACACTCTCTACCGGCGGAAGTTTCTCCCTATCAGGACAACAGCAGTAGTTGCTACTCTTTTGGCTCCACTTCAGCAGCATACGGCAGCGGCGGCAGAGGAGGAACCTCTAGAAAAACCGTAGCTGAAAAGCTTAAGCAGGATGAGCTGCTGCAGCAGTCAGACTTGCAGTCAGCAGCAGCAGCAGCAGCTCACTGCAGCTCAATGCTGATGCAGCAGCAGCAGCAGCTGTACAGCGGTGGCATTCCTGCACTGGAAAGCGAAGCTCAACATCACCACCACCAGCACCTCCATCACCCCCATCACCTCCACCAGCAGCATCAAACGAATTACCATCACCCCCACCATCAGAGCATCGGGGTGATCAGCACCAGTACCGGCGGGCAGGAGCAGTCACAGGGGGGGACGCAAACGACGGCGGACGCAGCGGGCGTCATCAGCAACTACCCGACGACGACGGCGGTGGTCCCCTCGGTGTCTGACATGCCGAACGTCGGTGGCAGTCTGAACATCTGCAGCAGCTCTACCAGCTCCAGCAGCTCTTTAGCGCCGCACAGTCGCCTCTACCTCGAAGCCTACCACCACCACGTCGGCGGCGGAATGAATGGCAGCACTTCCGGCGGTGCAGTCGCCGACTGTGCCGGTGCCGCCGACCTCGACCCGTCCACCGCCACCATCACCACCACGACGACCACCTCGGCGATGAACACCAACTCCAACAACTCCACCAGCAACAACAGCTGCAGCAGCTCATCGAAGGAGATCGCCAAGCCGCCCTACTCCTACATCGCACTGATCACCATGGCCATCAAGAAGGCGCCCGACCACAAGGTGACGCTCAGTGGAATCTATCAGGTAGGTGGAAGATTTAATCGGGAAAAATTTTGATAACAACTCGTTTTTGACCTTTGTTTCAACGCTTAACATTTTTTCCCGATTGTCATTTCCTTCTCCTTTTCCTCCCCAGTACATCATGGACGAGTACCCATTCTACCGGGACAACAAACAGGGCTGGCAGAACAGCATTCGCCACAACCTCTCCCTGAACGAGTGCTTCATCAAGGTGGCCCGGGATGATAAGAAGTCGGGCAAGGGCAGCTACTGGACACTCGATCCTGACTCGCTGAACATGTTTGAAAATGGCAGCTACCTCAGGCGACGACGACGCTTCAAGCGGAAAGGAGAGTGTGGCAAAGACGGAAGTGGTGAAGGAGGCCCAGGCAGAAAATCTAAAGTCGATCCGACGCAACAAGGCCCAGGCAGGCGGACCAGGGCAAACCGAGGGACCAAAGTGTCCAAAGCAGTGGCTCAGCAGCAGCAGCAGCAACAGCAACTTCAGCAGCAGTCTTTACTGGCAATCGTCGGCGGCGGCAATGATGACCACCATTTCAATCAGTCTGCCACCACCACCGCAGTCAACTGCTCTGAACAAGGCAGCAACAGCGTTTTGGTGAGCAATAATTTATCGGACGGGCACAACACCATCTCCTCTGCTTCGGCTTCGACCTCACTACAGCACGTCTTTGCAGCGGGCTGCGGTAGTTTGCAATCGCTCACATCACCGCCACCACCATTGCCACCACCACCGACACTGCAAACACATAAATTGTCTG